CAGGGTTCTGTCCTGGGCCTGTTGTTGTTCAACATCTTCATAAATGACTTGGATGAAGGAATTGAAGGGATGCTCATCAAATTTTCTCTTGACACTGAACTGAGATTCTTATAGTGGCTCCTAACCCATTTCCAAGCACAATTTCAACCTAGGGAGCACTAAACCAGGGGGTGGTGAACTTTTGGTCCTCAAGATGATGCTGGATCCCTGCTCCCATCATCTCTGACCATTGGACATGCTCATTAGGGCAGATGGGAGTTGGAATCCAACAAAACCTGGGGAGCCACAGGTTAGCTACCCTTGCCCTAACACACTGTCTTTTCCCACAAGAACTTGCCCAAATACTAACATCAACCCCTGATGCCCTGCCCTGAATCCCCCATCACCTGAAGCTAGGGGGATGGTAACACTTTTAGAATTATCTAAATAATTTAAATGAATGAATACGTAATGAAATCACATATTTTCTTTGTATTATTTTTATCACCACCACCATCATGACATCACTATTCTTTCTTTCTGCTGGGAGTGCATAGAATTGTGATTACACTTTGCTGGTGTGGTTATGGCACAGCTGCTGCTGGTGGTGTAGTGGGAGCATATGATTGAGCTGCCTGTCTTAATGAACTTGACTTGGATCAGGGCCACTGTCTAAGTGCTTTGCACAAGTCTCAGTACTCATTCTCCAAGGCATAACATCAAGCTAGCTTTACAATTAATGTAAAGTGGGTTTGGGGGGTGTTTTTTTTAAATAAAAATAACACAGCATGAATCTCCCAAAGAAACTATAACATACATTACATTGTTGGTTTGATATATCACTTGTGTTTTAAAGGATAAATCTATGTCTGAATACTTTACTTCAAATAATAAACTAGAATAAAAGACAAAGTTTATGCTCCTTGGTTTAGATGTGTTTTTTTCTCAACCTGTTCCATGAGCTGTGTCCAGCTGAATCAGCTTACACTAAGTTTCAACAGTAGTCAGCAACATGGTGGTGGGATGCCACATGGCACATAGTATAATTCTCTATACTACAAAGCTAGCATCTTATACAGTATAGTACTCAAATACCTGGAAATAATATTTTTTTTAAAAAAAACCCGCCCATCTGACTGGGTTTCTATGTACAGTGGGTGGGATTCTGTAACACTGGTTCATGCATTAATATCCACAGATTATTGGTTGTTGGTGTGTTTAAAAATTGCCTTCTCAGTCACTAGCCACCTCACATATGCAAAGTGCATAAGTAATCCACAATTGTCATATATTATCAGAGTTGCCATTCATCTTTCAGCCATGGGGAGGGGAAGAAATAAAACAAGGAAAAGCTCGCATCAGTGAACTTAGCCTCATTAAGTCTGAGCACACATGACATGGCAATGCAAATGTCCTTGTAAAATTCACAGACCCCTGAGTTCACAGGAATGGCAGCAGCAGAGGAAAATTATTCCACATCCTGCGGAGAGGAAATTAAAGGTATCAGAGAAAAAAGAATTTGCTGCATGGTGCAAAATGCAAGTTTTTTGCCTCCTGATGCTGAACATCTGCCACATTTGTGTGTTGACTCACTCAGTTGAGTGAGAGAGTATAAGCATCTTCAGGCTTACATGAAGCCTATTCCAGACGCAAGCTGTCTATGCTGGCAGCTGTGGGAAGGCCCACAGGAAGCAGGGACCCTGGAAGAAAGAGTGTGGGAGTATATCCTGTGAAGACAGATAACAAGTCATAACAGTACTATGGGAACTTCTTCAGCACCCGTATGAGAATGAAATTTCACAAGTCAAGGCCCTGGTTGTTTGTTCAAGGAGTGTGTGTGTGTGTGTGTGTGTGTGTGTGGTTTAATAGTCTGTTTTACATTTGACTGAATTAATGAAAATGTATTCTTCTTTATATTAAAAAAAAAATCCAAACTATTTTTTTGCAGTTTTTCTTTTCTTTTATCAAGCAGAATTAAACTAGCCAACACCCTGGCTGAGATATTTGCCATGAAGCATAGAAAAAAGGCTCATCAATTTTAATATGTTACCTTCAAGACTGATAAATTCAGCAATGAGATTTCATTATTCTTCACAGGGCAGATGAAATGTTGCATGAATATTAGGGGTGTATACAGACCACAAAATTTGGTTTAGATCATGATCTAACACTTTCGGAAACATCCCACCTTGATCTAAAGTGCTTTCATCATTTTTTCCAAGAGAATGAAGCTTGCCAAATTTTAAAAAGATAGCCACAGTGATTTTCCTGTAACAGCAGCTCATAAAATTTAGGGCCCACTTCATTTCCATACCCCTCACTCCATTTACTATTGGTAAATTTACAAAACAACTATCGTGGTTTTTTCCTCTTTTTGACAGAAGTGGATGGAATTTGCAGGGGAGAGAACTAAAAAGGATTACGTAACTTTCTAGGTAAAATTGTTTCCTTGGATTACAGTGTTGACCTGCCCACCATAACAGATCTCTCCCTCCCCTGTCTGGTATTTGCAATAGTGGATGGCATGGATGGGGTGGCACTGCTCACCTGACCTGCAGTCACTTCTGTCACTGCTGCTTACTGGGACATAGAGGGGGAGGGGCAAGGGCAAGGTGGGAGTGAGGTAAGTGTAGATGCACCGGTGGGAGCACCAGATTGGCTATGCCAGTGCATTTGCACCATGCCAACCTCACAGCTGCCTTGCCTCTTTCACTCTACCTCCTAGTAAGCTACAGTGACACAGTTGACCAGAGGTCAGGTGAGTGGCAACACCCCACTACTGGATATTTGTTACCCCTTATCTCATCACTTGACTTAGGTGTTTGTCCTTATATGGTAAGCTTAGAGCCATTTAATTTTTCTTTGCTAGTTGCCTCTCTTCAACATTTTCTTATGTCAGAATCACCAAGTAACCAGAAATAACTTATGCTGCCTTGTGCAGATGCTCCTTTACTTCCAACAAGCCCCAAGTCTCTATGATGCACCCTGCTTCAACTCAAGAGTCATCCATCGCAAATTAACATCCCTGTGGTATATTAATTGGTGTCATTCTTTAGCATTTCACAGTACAGTATATTCTTTTATTCAAACTCCATCTTACATTATAGTTTTGCAGCTGGATCTCCCAGTGCACTTTTCTTCTCCAAAAACTAGTCACACATGTCCATCTGCATCATGGACCCAAGACAAATCACTCCTCCCTGAGCTGCGCTTAAGTGCAGAAGGAAAAACATGCAACCACAAAATTGTGCTTGTATAGTTTCTCGTCTGTGAAATAGAGCAGATTAGAGGAACAATTTAAGTCACACACAATGATCCAAATCACACAAACACCACACACAACTTTTTAGAAGAAATTTCACAAGGCACTCCAATCGCAGAACTCCCAACCTAACATGTAGTGTGGCCTTTATTATCACTTCTTAATAAAACCTGATATATCATTCCTTCCTTGAACATCCTGAGCAGATGTGTTTTCCTTGGTGACAGCTTTTCCTTAGCGACAACTAAAAAATGTATCTGAAAGATTAATCAGTAGAACCTATTAAGATATCTACAAATAGCAGGTCAGTAAAAGGATTCCTTTCATTATGAAGGACCATAGGTTTGTAATGTTTGGTCTACAGCAATCACATGCCTTAAGTAAACCAGCTTAAAAGAGCAAGCTCTCTTGCAAATTACAGTGAAGCATGAAGAATTGGTGAGCATCTTTCAAAGCATCTTTTGATTCCCCTAAAGCTGATGGGAAGTACTCTGGAGGCATAAATAGAACGCAGATGTTCAAAAATGCATTTTAGTGTTCTGCTGAACATATTACCCTACTGGGAGGCTGTTTCTCCTCTCTGGGGACATTCCAAAGAGAGCTCAGCTGATTGTCTCATATTGAAACAACATGTCCAAGATAAATTCCAAGAGAAAAAAAATAAAGCAGGACTACTCTTGGACCAAACATAAATCATGAAGCTAAAAGGCAGTTTATCTCTCTCTCTCTTTCTATCCTTCCTTCCCTTGTCCTGCCTCATCTCTTCCCCCTTTCCTCCAAATTCACTAAAGAGCTGCCCAAAGGGAACAGAGTGGTGGGTAAATGACTGCCAAACTTGATGATTCAGGCACTCACCACTGTTCCCAAGTGCTGAACAGATGGCTGCTTGATGGGAAGTCTACAGCTTTCAGTGCTGGAGCCTTTCCTTGCAAAGAGGAAGTGAAAGAAATTTCCATGCAGCGTTACTTCAGATCTCCTGTACAACTCTTACGGCACTTATTTCTCCAAAAGCTTGGATCTTGACCCTATAAACAAAACTCCGCAAACACATTTTTAATAATGAAGATGTGGGGGCAGGGGAGTCTAACACAGCTGGGGCTAAGGAGCAAAGCTCAAACATCATTATTGCATATGCAGTAATGAAAATGTACTAAAACGTTAGAAGAACAAGGCATTATGTCACAGGATGGCCCAGCCCATCCCTATGTTCCTCCAATGAGATATTTAAATCTACTGAGAATATGCTGCTAATTATTTTATGTATGTTGTGTCAGGAAGGTAAATGGTGTTTCTGTGCGCTCTGGCACTCATTGCGGTGTCCTGTTGCGCCAGAAGCAGTTTAGTCATGCTGGCCACATGACCCGGAAAGCTGTCTGTGGACAAACACCAGCTCCCTTGGCCTGAAGTGAGATGAGCACCACCCCCCATAGTCACCTTTGACTGGACTTAACCATCCAGGGGTCCTTTACCTTACCATAAAGAGCTGTTATTGGTGGCTGTCCCACAATCAGGAGTCTCTTTCAGGAATGCAGACTTTATGTGTTTTCTATTATTTGTGTTATGCAAGAAGTTAAGAGCATCATATATACCCACTCATTCTATTTTGCCAGCATTTGTATGGGTTAAGCTTTAATTGACATGAGTTGTTAAAAATTGGCTTACACCAAAATAGTCCATTAGTCCATCTAACACAGTCTTGTCTGCATTGACTGGCTGTGGCTCTCCAGAATTTTAGACATAGATCTCTCCCAGTCCTAGCTGGAGATGCCAGGAATTGAACCTGGGACCTTCTGTATGCAAAGCAGATGCTCTGCCGTTGAGCTATGGCCCTTACTGATGTATGGAGAGAAGGAAATGGATACATATTGACAGTGTTTTTTTCTGGGGCAGACACAGGGGGATGCACAGCCCTAAACATTTTTTGAATCTAGATTTGGCCTCACTGAGGGGCAGTATTTCAATAAGAGTAGGAAAATGAGAGTACCCCTAAACATTTTTTTAGGGGGGTGGGAAGCACTGCATAGTGAGAGAAAGGAGGAAACTGGAACAATGAGAGCCTGAATGAAAATGGTAAACTAGATCCAAGCAAGACATTACAATAAACACACAACTGCAAAAAGAAAAGGGAAAATGCCTGTCTTCCTCCAATATACAGTGGTACGTTGGTTCCCGAATGGCTTAGTTGTTGAACAAATTGGCTCCCGAATGCCGCAAACCCGGAAGTAAGTGTTCCGGTTTGTGAACGTTTTTCAGAAGCCGAACATCTGATGCAGCTTACGTGGCCTCCGATTGAGTGCAGGAAGCTCCTGCAGCCAATCAGAAGCCGTGCCCTGGTTTTCGAATGGTTTTGGGAGTCGAAGAGACTCCCGGAATGGATTATGTTCAAGAACCAAGGTACCATTGTGCATACTAAAGTTTATCCATGCCCTGATGTCATAATATTCTATATTTCACTGCCTCCACTTGACGCTGTCAGCTACTGCTGGCCTGAGGATCAAGATATGTGAGCTTTGCACTAGAGATTACAAAGAAGGAAGGAAATCAAACATACAGCTGCCTTTTTTGGTGGCAGCTACTATATGCCCTAATGCGGTTTCGAGTTTGGCTGTCAAACAGCTTAAGAAAACTGAGAAGCCAGTATATTTAAATGATGATGGCAGATTTCCTTCTTAGAATAAAGACATAACTATTTATTTATTTATTACTTACTTACTTACTTACTTACTTACTTACTTACCTATCTACTTACAACAACAGTAACAACAATAACAATTTATTTATATGCCGCCCATCTGACTGGGTTGCCTGGGCACCTTCCAGCAAATTAAAACATCATTTGTATCCCACCTTTTTCTCCAAGGAGCTGAAGGTGGTGCACATGGTTCTCCCCCTCCTCATTTAATCCCCACAACAACCCTGTGAGGGGAGTTAGCCTGAGAGGCATTAAATGGCCCTAAGTCACCCTGTGAACTTCATGATTCAATGGGGATTTCAAACATGGCCTCCCTGGTCCTAGTCTAACATGCTAACCGCTTCATCACACCGTCTATGCTTTTAAAACAATTAATAGGACATTTTTTAAGAGACTTCAGCCTTTACCTTCCAGACCCTTGTGCTGTTACTCCCTTTTTAGAGTTGTGGAGTGAAGGATGAAAGATAATTGCTTGCCCAGAGATACCAAGGGAGGCTGTGATCTGAAGCAAGTTTCAAAACTGGGCCAGAAGCTTCCATTCTATCTCCTGAACCACACTGACCCCCTCCCCACCCTCTCTCACACACACTTAAGTTGATGTTCACATTCCCAGAAGTGTGATAATCCTTGGGATCCAACATATTCATGTGAAGCAGCTTGGGTGGGAAGAGTGTAAGCTGTTTACTTCCCTAACACTCACTGTTTACACTTCACACTGGGAAAGTCTGTGGAAAAGGAACACAGATATTTGTCTCTCTCACACACACACCAGAACCTAGGCTTAGGAAAAGCTCTGTGGGGACCAATAGATCATACACTATAAATCAAGCCATTACAACTGTAAACATATATATACCATGAGAAATGGGAACTGGCCGTTGCTTACTAATACACAGACACAGGTCCAGCTGTGGGGGATAGAAGTGGTGGGATAAATCACCAGCTGAGAAGAGCCAGGGTCTCCCCAGCTCCACCCCGCTTGCCTTTTAGGAGCTATCAGCCATTTTGCGCAAAATGATTATAGCTCTGTGTGACAGCTATATTACCGCCAATTCATGGGACACTGTATCGCATGGTAACTGCATGCAAACATGACATGAAAGCATTGTCAAATGCCTCACAGTGATACAGCTTCCTCGTGACAGGAAGGCAGAACCCATCAGCAGAGGCAAGCTTTAAAAGTGATAGATTTACTGCTACTCAGCTAACGTTCATCGGCCCTAAATTCAGGGAGACGCAGAACTGCTTGTCCCTATTTCCACATTGACTTTAGACAAGGCACGTAATGATTCATTGAACTATAATTATCTGTTCTAAATATACACCTCACCTAGTGTGCCTTCCAAAATTATCTCCATAACTGCTAATATACTGACTTGCCTAAAGTGCCGGGATGGAAAATTTGTTCTCCAAATGTAACTGGACTCCAGCTTCCCATCAGCCCCAGCCAGCATGGCCAATGGTCGTGGATGGTGGGAACTGTAGTCCAGTAATTTCTAGAAAGCTGCAGGTTCTCCGTCGCTGCTGCATCTGTTCAAAGTGGCATGCATTGTTTTACCGGCATTTCATGGATTACAATAATAATAAATAACAATGCAGGTTAGTTGGTTGTTCAGCAGAAATGCACTTAAGTACATCAAGCTAAAAGCAATGGTTTAAAAAACCACTAACCCTAACATCTCCTAAACATTTGAAACATTACTTCAAAAACCTTCATAAATAAACATCTGCATTCTCTGTCCAAGGCAAAAAGCTCTGTAGTCAATATATTCCACAAGACAGGTGCTGCCTAGTGTTGCCAGCTATCATGCATAATGCAGGATTGTAAAATGCTATGTCCTGTATTGATACAGTTTTGTCCTGTATTAATACAGGTCTTCTCTCTCTCTCTCTCTCTCTCTCTCTCTCTGCGTCAAGTTAGGGATCCTCTCCAAGTGCATGTGTTTGAAAGGGTGTGTGAAAGGTCATGTATTTAAGCTCTGGGTAGCCAAGCACAGGCAGATTTACAAATTCGTGTGTGTGTGTGTGCGCCTTACCATAGAAGGCAGCCAACAATGTATGTTTTTCTTCTTTGTATTGGAAAATTTCAATAAATGCTACAGTATTTCTAAAGAAAGCATACTTGGAATTTTAAAATTCTGAGCCCAGAAACTCCCAAAACTGTACTGAGCTTACAGTCCTTCGACACAAAAAGCCACCTCAGGTTAAACACATGCAATAATCATACACAGCTTTCTTTGGTGCAACAGTATCATTTAGGGGGTATTTTTTATTGTTGTTAAACAACCGAGAGTCAGAACATTTTGGTGATCTACTTCCATTACTGCCAGAAGATCCTGGTCTACCTTTTCTCCATCCCTTCCAGAAGTGACCTGACACCAAATGGCAATTTTGCTGCAGTGACAAATTTAAGCTCTAGACCTTCTGTACACTTGTCAACAAATCCTCTTCTTAGACCCAAAGTGTTTCTCAATAAATGTGCAGGTGTATTAGACTACCCATGAATGCAAGAATGAGTTAAGGGGCCCAACAGAAAGGTGTGTGTGTGTGTGTGTGTGTGTGTGTGTGTGTAATCTTTGCAAGTTTATATATCTATGTCTCTAAACTCTACAAGCTTAGAAGGAGGGAGTTTCCACTGTAGGCTGACAAGAACAATGCACTAGGCAGAACCAAGGTGGCACTGTGTGCTCGTAAGTGGACCCTCCCATTTAGGCCTTTCCTTTCCTAATAAAGGATCTGAAGTCATGCTATTGTCACCGGAGTTTGGCATGCGCTCAGCCACCGATACCGTGGCAGCAAGTGTGCCTGGTGCCAGTCCTTATTGTCACAGCAGCCATTGCACTGTATGAAGAAGGGCCCTCCAGGATGCAGGACAATACTGGGAAGGAAAAGGAGGGAATCCTCGACCTTGAGGCAGGGCCTAGTGGCAGACTATTGAACCTGGTGTCTCGACAAGCTGCTAGGAGTGAAAAATAAAGTAAAATATTGGAAGCTGCAGAGGTTGCAGATGAAAACAAAGGATTCTATCACGTAGGAAATAGAACAAAACACTACAAAATTCGCTTTGTTTTCAGAGATAAAATAAGCACAGAGCATTCCAGGAGGGTCAGGAGAGATCTGCTTCCTTCAGAGAAACTGATGAGCACAGGGGAGAAGGGGGAAAGGCAAGCGTGCATTTGAGAGTTGATAGCAAACTCAAATAAAGAAGGGGTTTATTTAAGAAAAAAAATCCTTGCAAGTTCACTTTTTGAAAAGCACATAGTAGGGAGGGAAAATAGCAAGGCATTTCATCCAGACTGAGAAGCGCTAAAAATCCCAGATGGGGAACCATTATTAATTTATATAATGGCATCTGTACATATAAATTAGCATATGCAAATTCTATGCAGATCTTTCATGGTGGTATCTTTTTCTTCTTGATGCATAAGTGGACCACCCTCATACCAAATTCAGACACAGAAGAACAAACAGGTGAGGAATGTTCAGAGATGATAAGCAGACCCTGGAGCATATTTGCCATAGAAACTGCCAATGAGTTTTTTGAACAACTTTTGTTTCATTTCTCCACTAAGACAAGCAGTGTGGACACTTGATGGACCATACTTATATTGAGCTCTCAACCTTATTCTGGTTTAATCAGAGTTGTTGTGCAACCAGGTGACGTAACTGAGGTCAATGAAAGAGTGTCTGCTGCAGTTGCTTCATACCACAAAGAATGCAACTCACTGCTGATGACCTTCCTAGATTTTTTGTCTGTAGATTTCGAAATACATGTGAAGCACCTTTAAATTATGTCATTCAAAAACAGCCACTGAACTTAGATATATAGCATCAGTTGTAGCTGTAGTCCAAACTGTCTACTTCCACCTTGACTACCTAGCTCAGACTAGAAGGGAATGTCAGTTGCTCCAAGACACCACTAAAACTTGTATTTCCTGCTTCAGGTGCAGTACCATTGATTGACTGCTGCAAGACAGACTTGCCCAAAGTCCTGGGTTTGCCATAACTGCCATTTGTTACAGAACTCTGGGCCTGTTTATCTGGGCAGCATCCCATTGCAGATAAATACCTGCAATTTTATCTACCCTTAGTCCCATGTGTCCTCAACCAGTCACACCACTGGCCTTGTTTAGCCAACGCAAAGAACAAAATAGTGGCTACTCTATCTGAAATATGACTGCAAACTTTTACCCACTTTCCATGGAATAAGCCCCATTGGATTCAATGGTACTTACTTCTTAGGAGACATTTATAGGTTCGTGCTGAGCTAAACCCTATTATTAAGCAGTGTGGAGTGGTCACCTCAACCACTAATTCTATCATGGAAGGGCAGCCACTTGTTATTTAATGTATTACTATTGTATATCTTACTGATAGGAGAGGCCCTTGTAGAATTTTATGCTGCAGGCACCGAAGTAACTTGACCAGTCATGAGTACTATGAATCTTCACTTGAGAGGTGAGAGATTCAGGGAATGGACACCACTTGCTGCTCTGCCTAAAGCAGGAAGATGTCTTGGACTAGCCCTACTTTAAGCTGAATAAGAGTACAATGACATATACATGTGATCCACATTCAAACAACTTTTCCACTTTGTGTGTGTGTGGCCCAGATTCTTCTCTCCATGCCTTCGGCAGAAGTTCGTTCGACACATACAAAATGGCCTCCTCCTTCCACACTCTCACATCCTGTCCTGCCTCATGTATGGCAAACTCCATTCTTTTTTTACCTCCCTGGTACTGAAATAAGAACAACTTATTTTCTTGACTACTCATCACATCTTCTGTGAACTTATTCTAGTCATTTTTTTAAAAAGGCAGTGAGGAGGGGGAATGGATGTGGCATTGGCTTTTCAACTGTGGTTTTCATTTCCATAAACCTTACAGCACAAGAATGCATGAGATATTTACACAAATCTTTCCACAATTCCTGTGGCCTTGAGGGGCATTGCATTTGCATGAGTTCACCACTGCGGCTCATTTGTGCTTTCTCAGCATCATTGCCTGAGACAAGGAGCCACCAGACCCATTCCTAAGAGTTTTCTCCCTCCTTCCCTTTCTCACAAAGCAGATGGCACAAAACGCTTTAATGCTCCCAGAAGAAATTGTTCAAAAAAATTATTGGCCACCCTCAAAGAGTTAATTTGATATGTTTTGTTTATTTATCAGATTTCTGTAGCATCTCCAAGGTACACAGCGTGGTACACATGGGGGTTATCCCATTTTATTCTCACAATCTTCATGTGAAGTAAGTGAGACTGGGGGACTGTGACTGGCTCAAGGTTACCCCATGAGCTCCAGGGCTCTGCAGGGATTCTTAATCCTTGTAGTCATTCCTCCACTGATGTATATGTGGCGTTCTTAGTCCATCGCAGGAAGAAATTAAGAAAGAGTGACTTCCAGGTCAAAGGTCATGTCTACATCAAGCTCAAGATACTGGCGGGATGTGTGCCTCTTCTTTAACACAACAGGGTGAACATAATTCAGATAACATGCAAAGAATGTGTGCGGTTCTCAAAGGTCCATTGCTCTGAAACGCAAAACCTTCACCTTTTCAATTGTTCTCTCTTCTTCTATAAAATCTAATTGCTTTGCCCATTAAGAACCATTCACATTTGCCCAGTTTGCAATGTTGAGCATTTATCAATTTCCGGACTTGTTTAATCTTCAGACAGTGGTGAATTCTTTGTCAGATTTGAAAATCCTTTTCACACAAAGGATTAGTAACTGTTCTGATGAGGAAAGTTTATGTGCCTTTAAGAACTGAACATTCAGGAGTATCATTACTCTAGGTGTCACATACTATTATAATATATTAATCATGTCTATAAAGCTGGTAATGTATTATGTGCTTTACCAGCCATGAGGCAGGTGAGGCCGCTGCTTCAGGCGGCAGAAACCCCCATGGCAGCATGCCCAAAGGTGCCCTGCCATGTCCACCACCTGCCATTGGTGTTGATTCTGTGGCAAGATCACACCAAAATTGGTGTGATCTTGCCCAAAATTGGCACCGGTGGTGGTGGTGCTTCTCCACCAGCAGACGATGGAGCAGGGCGCAGGGTGGCAGCTGAGCAGATGGCAGCAGCAGGAGCAGATAGGTTGTGCCAGGAGCAGCAGTGGCAGCAGGGCAAAGTAGCACTCTCCATTTCACCTCAAGCAGTGAAACAGGACACACCATCCCGGCTATACAGAACACAGAAGTGAAACATCCTCTGTCCATAGGGCTAATAACGGACATACAACTGTATAATAGTGTGCTAAGAATAAAGTTTGCTCTTGTGCAATTCCCCTTTGTTTCCATTGGGGACTTGTGCAGGAGACATTTCTGGTCTGCCAGAACAATATTACATTTCTGAAAGCTTACCAAAATGAGCTGCTAAAATTATCCTGGAAAGTAGCATGGCTATGTCAAATCTGGCCTCAGCTAAATCAACAGCTCAGCTCATTCTATAGATACTTTTGCTAACCTCCTGAAGAAGTGCATGAATGGTTTCCCGAAAGACTCTTTCATAGCCTTCCTCTTAAAGTGATTGTTGGTATGATCCTTGTGTGTGAGTCACAATTTGGAGACAACATAACAGAAGGGACTAAAACAGAAACTAACATCCAAGTGAAGGAAGATTCCAAAGAGAGTGTTAGTTAACACAGCCCTTGAGCAAAAAATACCCTTCAGCAATTACTTTTATCCATGTCCCAATTTTTTTCACCAAGCTAAGGGCTCATTCACACTTCCTTTGTCGCACTGCTTTTCCTCAGGAAAACTGCTCTTTAGTTGGAGCATTCAGGTTTTCTCCAGATTTACATTTGCTCCAATTTAGCACTAAAAGGCAGGTTTTCCCCGGGAAAGGAATGAGACATGTGGAAAACAGTTGAGATCTGTGCCTGGAAAGTCCAGGGCACAGGACAAACAGAAGTGTTGATGCACCCTGAATTTTGATATGCCCACAGTAAAGCAGTCATTGGAATCTTTCACCATGGATGTCAAAAAGGATTCAACAGACTTCCACTCTGGTGTTTGCAATGAAATTGCAGTTTATACCACCTTTGCAACAGGTACAAAAGAAGCAAGGGGGAGTGGGATCAGCATTGACCAAAAAGAAATGGCTGGCTATCCACCTAAGACACGGATAGCTACCACAGTGTCCTCCAGATGTTAGACTTAAACTCCCATCATGCCTGGCCATTGGCCAAGCTGAATGGGACTGCCAGGAGTTACAACATCTGGAGGGCACCAAGTGGCTACCCCTGATCTAAGAGCTACATGCCAACTACATTCCCATCTTAGGGTGCATTCTGCAACTTCCCTGCTATAAAACCTAGATTAAAGGGCTGGCATGCATTCAGCTCCCAGAATTCCTCAGAAATGAATAGCCTGAACCTTCTTAAATTTGCCAGTCACATCCTATGCCAAAACCAACTGCATGCAAATTCTATGTGTGGTATTACAAATCCATTCTAAGTGCTGCACCAACAGGTAGATCCCAAAATCTACCTTTATTGGCTGTTCTGAAGTGATTCCCCAATGCTCCCACATCATTGCTGTCCAGTAGGGCTATAGCACAACAAAAAACACAGAACATTTGTGGTATGGAAAGTGACAGAATTTCAGCAGGAAGTTACACATTACGTACTTTTGGAAAGGATTACCCTGAAATTTTTGCAATATTGAAAGCGAAATCACATATGGGTGCCCCTATAGCATCATAAGCACAAATAATTATGAATGCACAATAAAAAGGCCATCTGGAGAGGACCTGAGCCTGTTTTTTTAAAAGAAAAAGACTAGCAACTTTGTCTAAACACATATTTGTTTTTAAATACATAGTATTTTCTATATGTGAATGTGTTCAGCAAGGCGCAGTTCATTATAGTTCATCTTGAAAGACTCTAGTGACTGCAAGAAAATGTCAAAATTACAGGCTTATGAGGTACAAAGTGTTGAAATACCATCCTAATGCAACATTTGGTATGACTTGACCTTGCTATTTCAACACCTCTGAGGTCTTTCAAAAAGCACCAGGATTGATTGGAATGAAAGCCAGTACCCTAGTGTACAAGAAGAATGTGGTGGATGATGGATTTCACTGTTTGGCATCATACAGTTGTACTTGACTTTATTGCTAATGTTAGATTAGTATTCTCAAAGGAAAGGTGAAAATATGGGTTGGATGTCAGATGAAGAGACAGAAATGTAAAGAGTCCAGGGACAGGGCTTCCCCCTTAAATCTGTTCTTAGCATTGATCCCTTGTGATATGCACAGGGAGAACAACAGGTTGAAAGGTTAATAGTTTCAATTGACAATAGCCTGGAAAGAAGCTTAGATCTCCTATCTTAAAATGTAAGCTCCATCCTACTGCTCATGCATATTGAGGAAAAGGCTACTGAAGAACAGAAGAACAGTCTGCAGGATCAAGTCAATGGCCCATCTAGTTCAGCATCTGTTCTCATTATGGCCAACCAGATGCCTGTGGGAAGCCTGCAAGGTGGACATGAGTGCAACTCCTTCACTTGGAAGCAGCCACTGTCCTCGGCTTCTGACTTTTAAACAGATTAAACTTCAACACTGCACATGCCTTTTTAAAGCAGAATATTTGTTTCTCTCCCCAGGAGGCATTGGAAAAACTCCCTCTTTCTCGTGGAAAAAAATGGCTGCTATCCTAAAAGATGTGGGACAAAAGCAACACTGCAGTAGAACAGTCATTGATAAATCTGTTTCTTAGTACATATGATTATATTATTTGGCTCTGGTTAGATCCAATTCATTCCTTTAAAAACAAAAGGCTTTCAGAAAGGAAGATTTCAGTTGCTCTGTGGGGGGACTGATTTATGATTGTCTAGTTTCTGGTGATTGCTCCCCAGATGGCAGAGGGTGTGATCTTTATTGTAATCCCTTCTCCCTCCACTCTTGTTCAGACGTCAGAGATTTTTATTGCAAATCCCTGCTGGTATTGACCTTCATGTTCCAAGTCTTGTTTCCCACTAAATTTCCCTCCTACGGCTGGCCACAATTTTAGCATCTGACTCTCGCCCTCTTCAGCAAGGACATGTGGTGTTACCCATGACTGACATTAATGCCATTGTGTGAGTCATGAGTGCATGTAGCCCCATAATTCCCAAAGAACCAAATTATATGCTTTGCAAACCAGTTAGAGGTATGCCATTAATCATTCTTGGGGAGGAATTAGTAATATTAGGGGAAGATCACTGGTTGAGACATAGGGAGTGTGAGGTTTATTGCTTAGCATCAACAGCAGGCCTTTGGTGGTTCTGCTGAAAGAATACCCCAAATAACTTTCTTGCCATTTCCCCTCCAAAATTTCCCAACCAGCTTGTTAAGGTTATTTAGAAGCTTGTGCAATAGGTTCCTACCAAATATGGCAAAAGCACTGAAATACATTATTCTAAAATTTTCCACTAAAGTTGCATTCCTCCAATGAGACAAGGCAGATTTTGTAGTTCCTCACAAGTGTATCATTGGCCTAGATTTCTTTGCTAGCAGTGAATATGTGAGGTATCAGTTCCACCACATGGCCATATCACCGCCATTTTATCGTATTGCTTTCTGAGCCAAAGCTCTCCAGTGGCCTGACACTGTAATTTGATGTGCTGAGGCTCCTGAGGCTGATATGAGGTGAGCAGGGCTGGTGCAATGGGACAACGTATACTTCCAAGAAATGTTGTAATATTGGTGCATCTCCAAAGTGTTTGTTGCCACCCCATACTCTCTTAACACATACACACAGGATGCACATGCATTCACCACACACATACACACACACAGACACCTCTCACACACATACAGACCACATGTACCATATTTTTTGCTCTAGAAGACTCACTTTTCCCCTCCTAAAAAGTAAGGGGAAATGTGTGTGCGTCTTATGGAGCAAATGCAGGCTGCGCAGTTATCACAGAAGCCAGAACAGCAAGAGGGATTGCTGCTTTCACTGTGATCCCTCTTGCTGTTCTGGCTTCTGAGATTCAGAATTTTTTTTTCTTGTCTTCCTCCTCCAAAAACTAGGTGCGTCTTGTGGTCTGGTGCGTCTTATAGAGCAAAAAATACGGTATATCTCTCATACACTGTAGACAGGTCACATACAAACCACACAAATGGAGCACAGCAATAATGTTGGCAGGAATTTAAAGTGCTGCCCGAGCTCTTCTTCTTTCTATTCAAAAAAGCAGATCTAAAAGCACCACACACATATACATACTAACACTCAAATGCTGGCTGTGTTCTCCTCTTGGCTGATGTTATCCAGCTCCAAACACAATGACAGAGAGATACCATCTATCCCAACTGATGCCTAGAAGAGTCAAAGAAAAATGAAGGTTTCTTGAGTATGGCAGAAGCACTCGTATGGCAGTTTATTCTGTTTCCCCCTAAGTATTAATTTCCACATTATATTTGAGCTTTCACATGATGTAAAAGCTACTTTCAGAAATATAATGAAATATAGCACGAGCCTGGATAGCTCAGTTGGCTAGAGAGTGGTGCTGATAATACCAAGGTTGCAGATTTGATCCCCGTATGGGACAGCTGCATATTCCTGCAATGCAGGGGGTTGAACTAGATGATCCTCAGGGCCCCTTCCAACTCTATGATTCTATGAGTCTAAGTTTAGTGTTCGTTTCTGTGTTATTTGTTTCCATAAAAAAACCACACAGAAATGAATGCTAAACTTACACTATATTCTGCTATATTTCTGGAAGTAGCTTCTATGTCATGTGAAATTTCAAATGTAATGCAGAAATTAATTTAGGAAAACATGAGGAAACTATAATAAACTGCTGTGTGAATGCAGCCTGAGAAGGACAGCTGAGAATAAACAACAACATTTCTTCAAAAATCAACTGCTGCCATGAAATTTTGGGTGGATTTTGTGGGGTCCATATGAAACCATTTGAGGGGGATACGAATCATCTCTGTACCGTCCATTCACAGCAGGTGTGGAGAAGCCCTGGCTCTCCAGGTGTTGCTGAATCAGCGGTGGAGGAAACTGCTCAGGCATCTGGGGCGGCGTGCCCAGGGGCGTGGCGAGCTGCCCATAGGGGCGGGGCGCACCGCAGGGCCTCTGGAGTCTGCCTGCCTCCTCCTAGTCAGCCACCCTACATAGCTGTGGGGGGAAGCAGTGGGTGGACCGTTTGGGGCAGCGCAGAACCTGTGTGTGCCCAAGCCACCGCGTCACTCCCAGGAAAGATGCGTGGCCCTGCAGTGAGTGCCGCCTGCCATTTTGTCACCCCCCCTTGTGGTGACACCCGGGGTGGCTTGCACCCATCACAACCGCCCTTCCTTCGCCCTTGTGCTGAATTAAACTCCCATCACCCTTAGCTATTGACTATGCTTGCTGGGGCCGATAGGAGTTGTAATTCAGCAACAACTGGAGAGCCAAATCATCCCCACCCCTTATTGACAGTATGGAACCAAAACTCACTCCATTGGATCAGGTTTGCCTACACAAGCTAAAAATCACTTAGAGCAATTTAGAAAAATCCAGTTTCTACCATTTTCTTCATTAAGATTTTTTTAAAGTAAAAGAAAAAAGAAAAAGAAGGAACAATTCTAAAAATGGCAAATGCAGTTTAAAATCAGACTGGTTCACTGTTCTGAACAATAGCAGGTTGAACTCACATTTCAATACTTCTTCATTTCAACATCTGGAAACAGAAATCGCACATAGCTTTTGAAGCTTGTTACGGTGTTTAAGCTGCTAACTTTCTCGTAACTCAGAGGGTCATGCCACTACTGATGCTGGATTTAGAATGCAAAGCTTTTTCTAAATTAAAAAAAGACAGACAAGATAAAAGGTTTCTTTTAACTTTATGGAAGTTTTTGGTTTGAAGTTTCTGGAACTTTATGAGGCTTACTCACAGACATTTGTTGAAGGGAACAGAATCTCTTAGGTGGCATAACAGTAATTTAATTTAATGTTTTAAAATTAAAAAAGTCTAAAGAGACAAAGAAGACATGCCTATTTTGTGTTTAGAATTATTAAGGTACTTTCAGATTTACTTGCAGAAACTCAACATCAGGTTAGGTTAACATAAAGAGGGATTTGCTTAGATCAAAAAACTAATGATTAAGAAATCCCTCTTTCTATCAGATTAGACTAGTCTCTTATCATTTTTCTCACCTCTTGCCCTTGGAAGCCTTATAAAAAGCTGCTGCAGAAGAAGGTGTTTCTAGCACAGGCATAGGCAAACTCGGCCCTCCAGATGTTTTGAGACTACAACTCCCATCATCCCTAGCTAACAGGACCAGTGGTCAGGGATGATGGGAGTTGTAGTCCCAAAACATCTGGAGGGCTGAGTTTGCCTATGCCTGTTCTAGCACCAGCTGCTCACTTTATTTCCAAACTGTCAGGACACATGACTGCACATAATGCCCAATAATACTTTGGCTTGGAAGGTTCAATGCAGAATAGCATCCCTAACAGAGCTGAGGGCAACTGACAGTCAAATTTGATGTTAACAAATATCAAGACCACTGATTCTTCTAGCTCAGTATTATCCACATTGACTGTCAACAGATCTCCAGGTTTAAGATAGGGGACGCTCCCACTCCTACCTGGAGATGCCAGAAGTTGAAACTGAGAAATTATCCATGCAAAACAGATACTCTACCACTGGGATATTACCCTTTCATACTGGGTGTTGAAGCACAATTTTCATGGGGACCACAGCATGTGGGGAGGGGAGGTTTAACCCTTCCCTCTCCAGCCAGGATCCCGATAAAAAAAACAACCCTCATTCACCACTGAAATTAGCCTCAAGAAAAAGCTCCTATTGGCACTTAAAAAAATAATAATGTGAAAAGTTGACTGCATATACACTTATGGGATTGATTAGCGGGTTTCACATGCATGCATGAAGGTTATATTTTAATAATATTTAAACAAACAAACAAAAATCCTCAGCATTCAAAGTTATTGGTGTCATTTCTTAGAGAAGGCCTCATTAAACCTGCCAAATGTTTCCCATTTAAAGCCCCTCCCTTCAGTTATTTTTAAGCTAGCCAAACATTAATTGTCAAGGCAGAATTCTCTGATGCTGGCTTAGTAATTCCAAACACCTTCTTTATATGTTGTTCTGCCCCCACCCCAACAAAAAAGGATGCAGTGAATTTACTGAAGCTGCTCCAGCTTTTCTGCAGGATGAGGTTACTGGGGGTTGTGGGGGATTGATAGCTTGTTTAACCGCAGCCCATTTCTTAAAGAGTTCTAGCATTACTAACACTTCTGGTAGGGGCCTAAAATTTGGCAGGGACTGAAACTGGATTTAGAAGGATCCTTCTCTCTGCCCCGGGCTTAGCTTGGATCATAGTTACCACTTTGGCAGCAGTAGCTCCCTGGAAAAGAAATAAATAAGCAACACCTTTCTCACTTGTAGGGGAGAGATTCTTAGAGGCTTGCACATTCTACAGCACTGCCTTGACTGCACAGACCAGGCCACTTGAGACTTTTTGATATGGTGTGCAGGACAGAGAAGGGGAAGTGGAAATAAACTGGAGTTGTGTTTTGTAAGTTTCTCAGAACAAAAGTAATAAAGCAGTTCTTCATTACCAGCTAGTACCACTTTAACGGGTGGCGCTGTGGGTAAAAGCCTCAGCGCCTAGGACTTGCCGATCGAAAGGTCGGCGGTTCGAATCCCTGCGGCGGGGTGCGCTCCCGTCGCTCGGTCCCAGCGCCTGCCAACCTAGCAGTTCGAAAGCACCCCCGGGTGCAAGTAGAT